GGTGCTGCTGGCTCAGGGGATTCCAAGAAACAGAGATGACGTTTTTTTGCGGCCTTTGCAGCGTTTTCCCCTCACGGATAGAACAACCGGGTTTCACCTGCCAACCTACATGATGCACCTCTACAGGAATTTCAAGGCTAACTTTTCCAGGCCTTTGGATATTATGGAGCAAGACGCAGCAAAGCAAGCGGACACCGTGAAGAGTGTGATGGCTAAAAGTAAGATTTGGTTGATTATTGTGCAGGCATAACATGGATCAGGGAGATCAAATGATAGGTCATGTATACACAAAATGTGTTTCCTAGGGTTTTGTATATGTGGTAGAAATCAGATGTTTCTTATATAGGCTTAAAGACGCTCTGGATGTTAGTGTTTTTTGGCTCAACTCAAGGTTTGTCCTGTCAAAGCTGCGAGCCAGACGACCTCTGAGGCTTTCAATCCACATCCCACTCGGGGGGTGAATAACCATGCAGGGATCAGCGTGTGAAAAGGCCGGTTTTCTGTCTAATTCTCAAAGCAAACCTCTTTTTTCTTAAATAGGTGATGTTGATTAGATATCTCGCCAGACATCCCCCTATACAAATCTCTTGTTAAGTCAAATCAACAACTTCCCTCAGTTCTTTTTTCACACTTGGCTTGATTAGATTAGAGCTCGGGATTTAATGGCACAGCCAACAGAGGACAGCCCTCCCTGCTGCTGAATCTAATTTCACATCGCTGCTAGGTGTTAGAGTTATTACCTATTTGTTTGACTGAGGATATGCAGAAGCCAGGATAGGGATGTGTTAAATGATTGGTTTCGGCTCGGGGTTTGGTTTGAATGGATGAATGAAAGTGGTTGGCACTTTTGATCAACAGTCTAGCTAAATTGGCCAATGCACTGGACAATACACAAGTTAAATGTTTAAAATTCTTTAATCCTTTAGATTAATTTGAACCACACCTGTTCATTGAATCACAATGAGCCCCATTACAGATGAGGGCGCAGCACATGTTCTCCTCCAGCAGAACAATGACTGGATTATTTTTTAAGAAGCAGCTTTGATTGGCTGAATCTCGATCAATACACGCATTAATCACGAGGTCATGGTACAGGTTATCAAGGGGAATTAAACTCAGCATTTGCTATTCTCCCTACAACTTACTTTGCAAAACAAAAGAGTTGGATTGGTATATAGAAATAGCATAACATCCCGTAATTAATGGCCACAATGCAGTAATTATAGAAACTGATGGTAGAAAGTTAATGAAAGTAATGCAAAATATTTTTATTCCAAACTTCTTATATAACAAGGGATATTAGAGTTTCAAACAATTTCCCAAAATGGAATCAATAAAGTATATCTGATCTAATCTAATCTATTACTCTATTAAAATAGATTAACTACTAAATTAAATACCAAAGATGGCTACCTTGGAATTAACAGTTTAGGGAAATAAGTATTCATTTTATTATTTTCAAAATAAATGCTGCAGTTGATCTAGTTGGAATAAATAGACCAATTTAAAAACTGATTTCCTGAGTTATTATAAATACTTAAACTGAAGGAGATAATCACTGCCCTTTATTTAAATATAGCATTTAATAGTTCAAAACGTTCATCATGAAACGTGCCTGTGTTGTATTTTATATCTTCAACAGGTGGATTTTGCACACTGGCACATTCATTTGTGTGTTGTCAAATGACGGTGGGATTGTTGTATAAAGTCTGCTAATGATGACCTTATGATAATTATGCAAATCTTTCTCTCTTTTTTTCTACATCAGGTTTGACACTCAGGGAGAAGTGCTGGGTTGCGACCTTTGACCTCCATCCGCTTCTATCTGACAAGCAGATTCAGGCGGCAGAGCTGAGGATCCGGCTTCCTCGGCAACAGAATATCTCCAACATCACGGTGGAGGTCTATCACCAGCATGGCAAGGCGTGCCATTCTCACATAAGCTGCCAGGAGCAGCAGCTGGTGGGCCTGCTCTCTGAATCATCACTGGTCACTTCATCACAGAACTGGAAAGTGTTCAACATTACAAAACCTCTCTTGAGCTGGCTGAGGAAAAAATCAACAGTGAAAAGTCGAAACAGAAGAGTGTTGAGAAGAAGGAGAGTGTTAAAAACAAAGACAGGCCTGGCGCTTCCTGATGTGCCTGGGTTTGTGGCGAGCCTGAAAAGAGAGCCAGACGTGAGTGACCGGGCCCTGTTGGTCATATTCTCACAAACTGGCTCTGGTGAAAACCCGAAGGCCAAAGCGAGCTTACGTCACACAGCTGAACAATCCAAGTTCTTGTCCCCTGCTGAAATCAAAAGGGCCCGCCGGCCAAAGAGGCGCAGGAGCAAACGGGGCCAGAGAGAACAGTCTGTGAGAAGCCTGCAGGCGTCCAAAAGAGGGAGTGACACATCTCTCTGTCGCAGAGTGGAAATGCATGTAGACTTTAATCAAATTGGCTGGGGGTCCTGGATCGTTTTTCCTAAACGATATAATGCCTACCGCTGTGAGGGTCCCTGCCCTGGTCCCCTGGGAGAACACCTGAATCCAACAAATCATGCTTACATGCAGGTGCTGGTGTTACCATGAATATTTCTCATTCATTGTCTTAGACTCAGATTTACATTGATGTGTACTGCTTGTTTTGACATGTTCCCCCCTTTTGGGACCTGAAATGGGAGATACTGGATCACCCAGAAAATGTCCCTTACATGCCCTACAGTGTTTGCAATGATAACTGATAGATCAAGGGGAACTGGTTTTGCTGTTTAGAAGGTCACATTAACAGTAAATCTGACAAGACAAGTGCAGCATTAGGCTTTAGACAACAAGACAAGAAAACAGTAAGTGATCAGTATCGTCAGTAAGATTTAAAAAAAAAGATGAGCTGTAACATTTTCTGGTTTTAATTAACAATGGAAACAACCATTAGTTGCAGTCATAAAAAGGGACTTATACAATGATAGCTGCCATCACAAAACCCTCACAGGTATACACCTGAACAATTAAACTGAATAAAAACGATTAGTTAGTATCTTTATGAAGTTAAAATCATTATTTTGAGACCAGAATAATATAATTAAATTGTGTTTTCTTTTTCCAGAGTTTACTGAAACATTACCACCCTGACAAAGTGGGATCCCCCTGCTGTGCCCCGACCAAAATGAGCCCATTAAGCATGCTGTACTATGAAAATGGAGAAATGCTCCTTCGACACCATGAAGACATGATCGTGGAAGAATGTGGATGCCAGTGAGAGCTACAACCACCTCTGAACATGACCTGTGAAGCTGAACGGACAATGTCTCAAAACGAAAGAAAACACTTAGCTAGAAGGAAAAAGCTCTTTGATATTTGTCACTGTGCACTGTAAGATTGTAGCTGATCAATGTGCAGATAAGGGATTTTAATTTATGATGTGAGCTCTGGTTTGTCATTGTCATTTTAAGATGTGCTGAAATAAAAACTCATTAGTATCCAGCCTTCCAGCTGTGTGCAGATGTTACAATGTAATGTACATTTGTATTTCCCTTATCAATTTCCTCTATGTAAACATGAAATGGCAATGTAGTTAAATATTTCAGCACTGTTTTTATTGTACACTACCATTTGTGTAACTGTAAATTAATGTATATTTATTGTAAATATTAAAGAAATTGTATTTATGTACATTTTGCACATGGATTATGTATTTTATCCGGTTGCTTTTTTAGACCTAACTTGCTTCATTTGTTAAGTGAAGAAAGGGGTTTTGTAGAAAAATATATATTTCTTACGTATCGTGAAAAAAAATCATGTTTTAGGATACAATATCATAGTCTAAAAGCACGGCTTTCTCAGAGGTGCCTGATATCAACAATACCTGTCATCACTGCTATTTTAACCTGTCACTATGTGTCAATGCATACTCCAGAAGACGTTGATATTTCTAGTTTTTTCAGTCATCAACAGCAAGTCATAGCCATGCAAAATACGGCATTGTATAGGAGAGGGATTTCCAGCAAATACTGTAAAGTGGCTTTAAGTGGTTAGAATGTTGAACCATTCATCCAAAGCCAATGAGCACATTGTATTCAAATCCTTTGGAAACACACTGACTTACCAGGAATTTGCCAGAGTCATGATGACAATAACAGGGGTCTAACCTGGGAATTGTTGACCTGGATTCAGAGGTAAGACAACATTTACCTTTCTAATCTTCTTAATCTTCCTAATCTCAGGAAAAATTGTAATTCAGTTTTAATTCATTTTCTTCATGTTATGCCTCAATCTAAAATATTCTCATAAAAAAAAGCAGGATTTTCTTTCAATATGGTGACAAGTGACAATTAACAATATAGCAATATTGGCCAACTGAAAAATGTAATAATGACTATTTATAGGTATTACTAGTTACTATTACTTCATAATTGGTGGAAGTAATAATCTTGAATTATTGTTTGTGTTAAAGTAGCAATACATACTCTAAGAATGTAATCTATTTTCAATTATGTTATATTATTTAATTACAGCCTTCATTTTTGATGCATCACTATGTAGCAAAAATGTGTCAATGTTGTGCTAATAGTGGTTTAACTTTAATATTTTTAATATTATGTTTACTGCTGGATTTCACAGAGGGATCCAACTATTCTTATATTTCATCTAAATCCCTCAAGTAACTGGTAACTAAAGTTTTAATGAAATATACAAGATACAATGTATCTTACAAAGTTTGACTTGACTTGAATGTAGGAGTAGGCCTACCGGTATACGTGGGCGTATACTATAATAGGCTACAAACAGAAACTGGAAATTCTCAAGTAGAATACTTTAAAATAAATCAAACGTAAAGTACTTAAAACAATGTGGTCTACTGAGTTCATATCCACGACTGCAATTGAGCAGAGTTATTGCTCTTATGTGTTGCTTATTGTGTCCCCTATCAGCATTCACAGTCATGCCTCGGCTACATGTCTGCTGCACCCTATTAGAGCAGCACTGACACTCATGAATACAGTATTTCCTTGCCGGCTGTTTGCTAGTAGCAAGTTTGCAAATTCCTTACGTTACTAACGTTAAGTCAAAGCAACAATGCCTTTTACAATGTGTGTTTAACGTCACTATATGAGGTTTGGTTTATAAAAGCTTTTTCCAGCGTATAGCGCAACATCCAGGTGAATTGCCCTTTCCGGGGCTAAAAATACACACTCACCAAATTAGACTGAGGGCTAGCTGCTGTGGCTAACGCTAGCTAGCTGAGGCAGCTGCCAGGCTCAGTAACAGTAGCTCTTCTAGTCTGGGTAAGTGGCTTCTTCCTGGTGTGGCTTTAATGAACGAGAAATGAAACAAACTGTGATTTTACAACTAAACAGATTCTAGTTGCATCCCGCACAGTCAGGTAGTGCATGACTAGGTCCAGTTTGCAAAAGATAGCATTATTCAGCCACAAGTTAATTGAAAGGTTATATAACGTCATATGAAAATACTTCCTTTTTAAGTAGGCTGTGTCATGTTCGGGATACTTTCTATCTTCATTACATTTGTATAACTACTACACTGACTAGTAGATACTGCTTTTTCATTAGATGTCATAGGGTCCAATTGTATTGTGTTGGTAACTAAATGTTTTTACTTTCATTCTGTAGGTAAGTAGCCTACACTTTCGAGGTTTACTTGGTTTACATTACTTCTACAGTTTGTGGGCAATAATCTACGTTTACCCTCCTAAATGTATCTGACAGCTTAAGTTACACATTTGACACCACAATAAAACGTGATATTATCATGGGTTAAGATAAGCCTAATAAAGGCATGTATTGGTAGGCCTACTTAAAATATAATTTGTGATGATACTATAATACTTAATGATAATACTGTTGTGCCTTGTACCTGAGCATGTTTACACTGTAGTAGTCACTTTTACTTGAATACAGTCTTTACCTCTGAATTAGAGTATTAGTTGGTAATGCTATGCAATTTATTCTATTCAACTTTACTTCACTTTTTGAAAAACTCAGAATTAAAAAAAGGCTTGTACAATGAAGGGTAGGCTACGTTTGCATTATTGTATTGCTACATGCATGATATGATATCGCTCTCAGGAAATATTATTGTAGATTTACAGAAAATATGTTCTCAGAGTAAAGGATTTTGACTTACTTTTGTGTGTTAATAGATTCTACAGTGATAAATGGACATGATGAAATAGGGCTACATTCTGTCACATAAAGACACGATCATAATACTCGCTTAATATAACTGCATGAAGCTGGATTCATTTGGAATGATAAACTGTCATTATTAGTTACTGTAATCACAATTTGTCCATCATACATCCAATGCATAAAGTGCAAGTATAATGTTGCATGATTTCCTTCAGGAACAGTTACGGCAGAAAAATGGCTGAAGCAGTCGCAAATGTGGCCCGGAGGGTTAATGCAATCGTTGAGGATGGCGGCGATACATTGGGTAAGACTCCTAACATATCTCTTTCTCTCACTCAGTCTTTATGCTGTTTAAATGAACAGCTTTGATTCCCAATTTGAGTGGATGCCTATTTTGGGATTTTCACCAGCAGGTGGTGACAGAGGTTTAGATTTGTCTGCTTCAAAAACGTTGAACCCCATAGTGTGTGTAAATTATAGATTGTTACCATCCTCCTGCTGTGTAAATCTGTCGTACTCTCACAATCATCATCTTCTTCTCTGCAGACCTGTCAAACTGCAAGCTCATTACATTCCCCGATGGTGTGTTCAGGGTCCTGAAGGGCGTCTCAGACAACATCCGCGTTGTCTTACTGGCTGAAAATGAGATGAAGTCCATTTCCAGCAAGTTATTTTTAAACTTCACGCAACTGAGAGGTAATGGATATACACTACAACTATTTCATTCATGATTCAATTTACGGGGGTAATTTTTGCTTCTTAGATTCTGGATCTATTCACAACTTCCAGAAAATTATTTCTAAAAGCTTTATAGACATTGCTACTGTTAGGCAGTTATCCTACGAATAAAGTTGAAGTTGTTATCAATTTTCAAACCATTTTGCAGTGTTATTTTGTGTAACATTATTTCTTTTTTATGTAGCAACTTTTTTAGGAATAAAGAGGCAGCGAGCCTAAGCTTACCAGTTTTATTTATGTAACAGGAAGGAACCATTCTTGAATTCCTAGAAAGTGTTGTTGTCCAAGTGCAAGAATACATGTTGAATCACATTTTGATATAACAATTCACCCCTTAGTTATTTTTTTGGTTAAACTCAGAAATTGACTGAGTGTCTTCATTTTGTGACAGGAGATCAGACAAGCAACCCCTTCATTTACTTGTGTCTTCAAATATTTTGCAGAACTTGACCTGCGAGGAAATATCATCTCCAAACTGCCCGACGCCTTTTTAGAGATGGAGCATTTGACCAGCATCAATCTGGCTTATAACAGCTTCTCCATCTTCCCTGATAAGCTTACTGAAATAGCCACACTGGAGAGGATTAACCTGGAGGGAAACAGCATCACAGGTAATACAAATATATTAAAGCCATGAGTTGTGTAATTATTAAATGGTTTGAGCTTACGTTTTATCTGTGTTTTTTTGTCCCACAGAAATACCAGTGGAGAAGTTGTCCAACATGCCAGCAATGAAGTGGCTGAACGTCAAGTCAAACCCTTTGGACTCGAACACTCAGTCAGCTCTGCAATCTCTGAACAATATTGAAACAGAGTCCTAATATGTCATAGATCATACAGTATTTACTCACCTATGGACTGCATGCTGCGTGCCTTTTAACTTCCTCATTTGGATGCTTTGTTGGGCTTGGGAGATGAAAAACATTATACTTGATGAAATTGATCTGAATATAGCACAATGGGTTCACAGGAAACAAAGGGAGATGTGCGATTAAACATGGCGTCCTCCTTGATTGACCTTTATCAGTGCGACCACACCAAGAAGCCTTTACTTTTTCCTCTGTGAGCTACAAAGACCTGGAGTTGATGTTTGGAGATGAAATCAATCCATATTTATACACCATTTGTCATGTTTACTTCTGAATAAGGACATATTTATTACTTTTTATAGTATAAAAGGTTTGTTCAATTAAAAATATGCACTGAAAACAGACTGATTATAATTGTGCAATTGATGACAGATTCTGAGACTTATGAATGTTGTTAAATCACGGAAGTGTTCCCTGATTTAAAACTTAATTTTGATATATCTGGCAGTTGTTTCCGGAAATAAACCAATTTCCAAAAATAGTAAAAAAAAAAAGAAAAAAGAATGGTAAAAAATGAAGTATTATTCAGTACATTATTTATTTTGATGGAACCAACAGTCCAAAACATGATCCACATACAATGATATAACAACGTATACGATGGATAGATACTTTAATACAAATAATAACAATAATCAAAACAACTCATTTTGTGAAGCTAGTTAGTCTTTTTAAAGAAAAAAAGGCAGACATTTGGCAAAATAACGGCAGGAAAAATAACAATACTTCTATTTCCACTCTTTGTAGAGATATAAAGAAAACAGCAACAACATGCTCATACATTCCTCCCCGTAGTCTCCTTCACAGGGATCTATACTTATAAAACGGAACTAAATCAATTGAAGAGACAATACAAATATTCGGACACTATTTTATCAAGTTGTAGGCAGGAGGCAACGCAGACTTGATTTAAGTTCAACGAAAAGTAGATAAACAGTGATCAAGCTCTATCTTTGAGAGAGGCTACAGGTGACAGACCTGATCCACAGTATTAAAGTATTCTGCTTAGGCTTTTGAAGAATTCCTTAAATAGCAACTCTGCCTAGTCGGGATCACCTTTAATCTGATGTTTGGGCTCGCTGTGTTGAGTGTGTTGTGGCACAAAAGAAAAGGATAAGGGAGGAAGTATAACGATATTAGAGGGATACAGAAATGAGTACATACAAGACAATTAAATAAACATATTCTAATGCAAGTAGAGGATGACTACTCTTCAAGCCAAGAGAAATATTTAGCAAGGTGGGAAGATTACAGCGTCATGTGACTCCTCTGCTGTGACCTTGTATTGTTCATGTTGCCCTCTGACTCTGAGCTTTAATCATCTATAGGCTACACCAGAGGAGAACTACAGTCCTTGGAGTTGTATTATGCTTAAAGCAGGAGGCATCTTCTCTGTGAACTGGATTGTGTGGGTTTTGGTTACACAAATGTATTAAATTGTCTCCAATTATAAGCTATAATTGGAATACATATACACTATACTTAGACTATTTTCATAATTGATTTAAAAATTAAAAAAAGTAGCTTGAATAAAATTAAATGTAACACATTATGATTGATTCGAGTATATGTGGTTTCAAAACATTAACATAATTAGTAGTTTCTCAGGCCTGGCTGCAATGTGATGATTGTGTCACTCTGAAAAAAACTGTACAGACACAATTTTAAAGTGTTAATTACAGCAAAGACTGCGGAGCGTTTAGAATGTTTTAACACATTTCTCATTTACCAAGATCTGTAACAACGGATATGTAAATTACCTCCAATATGTGCACTTTATCTGATGTAAAAAATGTAATTCAAAACCAGCAAAATACCATCTCTCCAGTTTTTTAAAAAGGTAAATATTATTTTTTATTATGTTTCTAAAAATAGGCCCACAAGTATGTTATCAAATAGTTACGGGGATACTCCAGAAGCAAGAAGTCACAACGTAGGCACAACACCTAATCCTGCCTTGTTAATTGGTTTACAGCTAGCAGTCAGCTCCATCTGTTTATGTCTGAAAAGAGCTCTCAAGAGCCACAGCTTACAGGAGGGAAATTAAAAACAAATCACTTTACACACAGAGAAGGTAAAGAAACTTCACATCCAGGCGGCAGAATATATGTGGTAGCCATGGAGAAGTGCTAACAACTAAGGATTAGCTGCTGATTGTTCTGAGTAATTCTCTCCACGCTTGTTAGCTACAGATGCCAATAATGGATGGGATAAGAATTCAGGAACATTCATGTCTGTCAGCTGGCCCGTACACTTCCTGGTGTCACATGCATGCCAGGGCTCTTGGTTTATGCGCATGTCTGCTGAATGACTGCCTGTCAGTCAGGAGCTTCTTACTCCTGGATTAGTGCAGACCACAGTGTTCTGAAAGCAGCAGCAGAAATGAGCGTTACTGTCGAGGAGAGGGGCCGGCCCAACACCCTGGACTACAGAGTGTATTTCAGTAAGAACAGCTTTTTTATACATCTAGTATTTGTGTTGTTGAAAACTTTTAGTGTAATAGTTGCCAGCTATCTGGAAACTATTATGGCTGCATTAGCCAGTAGAGCTTTATGAAGAGATCTGGCCATTTGTAGCTCATCAGAATTTGTATTTCTGCTAAAAATGCATTACTCTTTTCCTTAGAAAACTCTGAGGGAAAATACATCTCTCCCTTCCATGACATACCCATCTACGCAAATGAAGTAGAGGTGAGCATCCAGTGTCAAACGTAATGCTGCAGGTTTTTATTTTAAAAAGTAGAGCTGTATTTGTAGCATTTGTATTATATAACTGTTGCTGGGGCTGTAATGTAGCCTTTAAATGTTTATTAAATCAACTTGTGTTGCAAGTCAAATGTTGTACACGTACCATTTGTAGTTTAAAAGTATCATTATACCCCAGATGACCAAAATGAGTCATATTGAGATTTTACAATTCAACTTTTATTCTGAATTAGTAGTAATTAGTAATCAGTAATGGCCAGTTGGCTTCCCAGTGCCACCTGGGGGCCATAATCAGTGTGCTACCTTAAATGACCTCAGGTAACTTTAGTTCAGGCAGACATTGGGGCCTTGTTGAAAAAAAAGATCACTTTGCCAATACGTATAATCACAATTATGTAGGCCCTACATAACTATAAAAATGGCATTGAAATGAATTTAAAACATTTAGAAGGATTCGTCCTGATGTAACAGTATTACTTATAATCCTGCAGAATATCTTCCATGCTGTTGTGGAGGTTCCAAGATGGACAAATGCAAAAATGGAGGTATGCATATTTGCAAATGGGTACACTTAAGTTGATGTTAAGTCCCTCCTAATACTTTGTTGTCGTTGTGGAACTAATATTAAATGTTCTCTTTTCTTTTCTAAAATCAGATTGCCACCAAAGATCCTCTTAATCCACTGAAACAAGATATAAAGAAGGGGAACCTCCGTTATGTAGCAAATGTGTTCCCTCACAAAGGCTACATCTGGAACTATGGAGCTATTCCTCAGGTAACTAAGATGATGTTCAGACAACAGGAAAACCGACCATATCGCCGCTCTTCTAACCTGAGCTTTCTTTGATCACAGACATGGGAAGATCCCAACCACAAGGACAGCGACACAGGATGCTGTGGAGACAACGATCCTATTGACATATGTGACATAGGAAATAAGGTACAACTGTCATTAGGGGCTTTGAAGAGACAGAGTTATATTGAACCGTTTGTAGCGTTTCTTATTAAGAGTGCCTTTGATTCTCAGGTGTGTTCTCGAGGAGAAATTATCAAAGTGAAAGTGTTGGGAACTCTGGCTTTGATCGATGAGGGCGAAACAGACTGGAAGGTCATTGTGATCAATACTGAGGACCCCGAGTCTGCAGACTTTAACGGTATGAACAACCAACAATTAAAGAAGGACATATGCAGTTTAATAAGGTTTTCTGAATATTCAGGGTTTTGCTTTGTTATCGATTTGTTGCAGATATTGATGATGTAAGACGACTTAAGCCTGGATACCTGGAGGCAACTTTTGATTGGTTCAAAAGATACAAAGTCCCAGATGGGAAGCCTGAAAACCAGTTTGCTTTCAACGGGGAGTTCAAGGACAGGGTACGCCTTTTTAAGTTGTCACAGTACTTACAGTATGCTGTGTTTTAAAACTGTTATAAATGTTTTTTTTATTTAAATGACTGATAACAGTATGTTGTTTAAATACATGTAACATTATTTCTGTATCAGGTGTGCTCAAATTAATAAGAAACTTACAACCGAAAACAATTTACAAACGTAAAACATTTTCGGAGGCAAAATTGTTATGAAATGTTTTTTCTATAGCCCAACCTCTTTGGTTACACACATCAATTTTATTTGTACCCGTTATATTGAAGGGGGAGGGGGAAATGATGTCTATTGATTGTTGTGAGAAAAAAAAAAATGTTTCCAGGACTTTGCCATTAAAACAATCAAGGACACCCATGAGTTTTGGAAGGCACTGATTTCTAAGAATTCCAGCGCTGGAGAGTTAAACTGGTGAGTGCTTAACGCAGAAAGTCTATGAAGTAGAGCTACAATGAATAGACTAAACAACAAATCCATCAACCGGAACATTTTGACAATCTGTTGATCTTTAAAGTAGCAGCAAATCTCTCTCTCTGTTTAACACCTTTTTACTACAGATAAAGTAATGATTTTGTGACTTTCTGTAAATAATTCCTTTCTTTTTATTCCTTGAATTCAGCACGAACACCGGTGTCTCAGATAGTCCGTTCTGCTGCTCTGCTGGGGATGCAGAGGCCGTGGTTAAATCTGTAAGTTCGTCATTTTCAAATGTATACCACCTCCTTTCGTTACTGACATTCTAATATAAATATGATAAAACAAAAATACCCACAAATACTTAAATGCTTGCCAATTTTTATTAAATATGGTTACCATTTGATTTCTTGAAAATGAAAAAAAGAAACTCTAAAAACACACCCAAAATTACGGAGCCCTGGAGGGTTCATAGAGAGAAAAATAAATAAAACGTGGCCACGTTTCACTTTCTCGTGCGCACGCTTTAGTAACTCGTGCGCACGAGTTACTAAAGCGTGCGCACCAGTTACTAAAGCGTGCGCACGAGTTAATAAAGCATGGCCTCGTTTTGTGTGTGTGTGTGTGTGTGGGGGGGGGGGGGCATTTGTTTATGATAGTATCGTTTGTTCCGGTGCACTCCGGCAGGACTATAGCACATCGAGATTAAGATTAAACACATTTCTTTCACTTGGGAATACACTTAACTATGGGGAACCAGATTTGTTTAAAGTACTGTTCGTGGTAATTTGAAAACAAATGCCGGTGGTGTCGGATACACACGAACACGCACACAGAG